ACGTGTCGCATTTCACTTACCCCCCACCCCCCCCCCCGCCTTCTCCTGTGGAAGCTTACACATTTACTTCAGCTCTCTGACTAGCTTGCAAGATATTTTAGAAAAAGTACTCATGGGGCGCCTGGGTGGCCCAGTCGGTTAAGCGTCCGACTTCAGCTCAGGTCATGTTCTCACATTCATGGGTTCAAGCCCCACGTCTGGCTCTGTGCTGACAGCTCGGACCCTAGAGCTTGCTTTGGATTCAGGGTCTCTCTCTCTCTCTCTCTCTCTCTCTGCCCCTTCCCTGCTCCCGCCCTTTCACTCTCTAAAATAAACAAACAGGAAAAAAAAAAAAAAAAGGACTCATAATGTTCCTAGTACCTTGCCTTACACACAGTAATCCTTCAGTACGTATTTATTAGCCTGTATACGGGAAGATCTGGGTTGACAAATCCGTAAAGGATAGGAGATGTAAGACAAAACCTATTTTTAAAAATAAGGGCCAGGTTTAAGGCCCATCCTTTTGATTTGGTCAATTTAACAGCTGTCTATAAAGTTTACCAAATCCTGAAAACCCAGTCCTGTCATGGTACCACAAGCTCCCTCTATAGTCTATGTCCTGTTATGGTCCTTATGACAGGGGAGAGGAGTCATTTTGTGGTTGGTGTGTAGCTGATTTAGAACTTGGAGTTGCTGCAATATAGTAACAGAGGGTAGTGGTTTAGGTTGGCAAGTACAAGTAGCCGAATGCTAGAGCCATGCTTCCAGTGTGCAGAAAACTTTGCTCATTCAGCAATTACTTTCCAGCTTGCAAGCTCTGTGTGAAAGAGGGATTGCTGTAACAGGATGGAGTATCATCCACTAAAGGCGGCAAGTGACTGGATGGATTGCGAGCTAATATGCTACAGCATCTGTAAACTATGCTATTTTATAAAATGTCAACAAATAAATTATCTAAAAAAGAACAAGGCCTCCAGATGCGAGTACTTTTAAACTAGTTATTTCACCAATTTTTTTTTTTAACTCTTCCTCTGAGGAATCCCATACTTAGCCATCTTTTGCCTGTTTATAGACATGGCTCTCTATATTGGGATGTTGACTTTTTTTCCACGTGCAAAGTTTTGAAAGTTCATCCATACTTTCAAACTGATAAAGTACATGGATTTTAAGGCTACAGACAATTTTCTGAGTTGAAGATACCTGTCCGATGGATTGACCATGACATACCTAACCTTATACATTTTTTTGGCATGGAAGAAAATTTATTAATAAATAACATTAAGATTGTTTTATATCCAATCCAAAATGCTGACAGGAAGTCATTCAAACAATTAAAACCAGGACAGTAGGTAGGAGTGCTCATATATTTAATAGGAAAGAGACTCCTTGTTTTATTCTGTATATCCAAGGTCTAGGGAGAACTCAGCATCAGGAAGATAGTCAAGTATTTATTGAATGAACGGATTTCTGTTCATCGAGTTAGTGCATATGTCAAGCATAAGGAGCTATAGAAATTGGGAATTAGGGGATGCTTACATAAAATGACACCGTGTACAAACTTTAAAAGTATATGTGCTATATTAATGAGAATATATGTTAAAGGTTTTCATTTTAAATGACTTTTTGTTGCTAAAACAATATCCACGACTTGTGTTTAGGATGTACCTAGTTTATCAACATTGTACGCACAGAATAAAAATAACATTTACTGCTCATGAAATGGAGGTTGACAAGCTGTTTGATAAGCCTTGGGTTTATAAAGATACTTTTGTGCTGAACATACTAATCCTGTGTACGGTTTGAACTGGAAGTTATTTCTCTAAAATTATGCTTTGAAAATATTGGTGCTGTGCGATAACGTACTTGGTAAAGCTTCCTGTAAATGATTTTAGACAGCTAATAGAAGTATTTTTGCATGGCGAGGATAATAGAGTTCATCGTACAGGCTTTCGACTATTTAATTTCAGTCTAAACACTAACTTTTGAACTAGTACATAATTATTTTCATAAAATGCACAATCATGACTGCCAATTTTTCCATGACTAACTATACCCTCCCAGATGTTGTTTTAAGTTCTGCTAAGTCATATTTTCTTTTTCCAGAACTCTGTGTTCCCTCCCACTCCTAAGTCCCTCTGGCCTTTTCTCAGACTTAGCCCTTTTCCTGAATTTGGGGTAAAAAGGATCCATTGCTCTTTTTACCATTCTATATGAATATAATAGCTTTACATAAATTACTCTCAATCTCACCTGCGATCATAAAGCTTAGCCTGTCCCCTTCCTGGAGAGGTATACATTTTGTGCAGTTTCTTCTGAAAAGTCGTGAAGCCTTTCCATGCAAGAACAGCCTCATCATATGACTGAAAATCTTCTGAATCACCCCAGAATCCAGGCTGTTAGAAAACTGCTAACCATTTCCAAACTTCCACATTTGTTTTCTGCTGTTCAGCTACCTCTCCTCCAGATTAGATTTTCTTGCTGTAGCAAGAATCATTAGTCACTAGTGAGACAGCCAGAGCTTACTGTCAAGGGACACCTTACAACCCATGATGGATTCGTATTTTCTTACCAATCTGAGCTTTATGGAACACTCACCGCCCAGCCATTAGACAGAAAAACTTCAATGGCAAATCTCATCTCTTGAATGCCAGCGAAAATATTTGGCCGCATGCATGGTTCCAAGAAAAAAGTTTTCATTGATTCAAATGTATAAAAGCCTACCCTGTGCTGGTAATTGCACAAAGCGTTGAGAGATGTGAAGAAGAAAAATCCAGTCCTGACTACCCCCAAGGAGCTCTAGTGGGGAAGAAAGACAACAAACACAGAGTTGAAATCAAGTGAAGTACTCCATGAAGTCAAGTCAGTGAAGTTCGCGGGGGGGCACAGAGGAAGGGCTGCAACATGGCCCTCATCCTCACACTCCTCATCAACCACAGTACATCACTGGTTATGCAAAAGCTATGCAGCTGCTCCACAAGTCTCCATGTATGCACGCTTCAAGGAATAACCATCAGGATATTTCTGCCAGAGAACAGTGAGTTCCCCAAACTGCAAGCATTTTCTACACCTGCTTGGAGAGCATTGTTGAGTGCCTATGGATGAATAAACTGATCAAGTAAGTCACGGTTTATAAGCCAGTCTTATTTCCATGCACTGGAATAGAGGAAAGTATGGTTGTGGAAAGAAAAGTTCCTGAGGTCAGAAGACCAGAGCTGCATGGTGAGGCTGTCTGTAGGACCCTCATCCCTAAAAGAATGTTTGTGAGGTCCCTGCCAGCCTTCTGATACTCTATGACTTAACCATAAAGGGAGTGGTCCAGCCAGCCTGATTATCATTATAGTTTAAGAATTTTTCCAACTTCTCAGAGTCTCCAAGATATACCAAACCGGAGGGAACTTTGGTAACTGCTAAGCTCAGGTTTACCGAAGGGGGTTAAAAAAAAATGTGTAAGGGTAGGGAATAATTTTTGACAATCACTTGGTTTCTGTGCAATAAATATCAACAGTGAAATTTTAGGAATGTACTTTTAACAGTGCCAAGCATCAGAGATCTAGAAATCGTCTGGCCACAGTCTGATTGACTGTGATATCACAGAGATATTATTTACTATAGCCAGTCTGCTTCCTCTTTTTCTTGGAAGTAGTAAAAAAATTTTTAGCATTTTTCAAACCTTGAAGGATATAATTCTATATTTACTCAAAAACCTACGCAGAAACTCAACAAATTCCTCTCTTCCCTGTCTGATAATTTGGGTGAATTTGCAAAATAAGTATCTAATGTATCAACCTTTAAGGCATTTTTTCTGTGTCACCGTCTAACGTGAAACATACTTTTCTTGCCAAATTGCTGACCTTGACACACTTAAGTCCCTTTATGTTTCAGGAGAGTCAGGGACTCCGAGTGGAGCCAATCACTCTGTAGACACAGCAACGATTCCCTGAGTCTCAGAAAGCAAGTGTAACGTTTTCTCCTAGGTACCTTCAACTCCGGTACAAAGAATCACATCCCAGGCTGGGCTAAAGATCTGTTAGGGAAAGTGACTCAGGCGGGAGACTACAAAAAGGAGGCCCACATGGTCTCGTTTTGCAAATACAAACTTTGTGGGGTATAGAGCTGGAAGAGACCACAAAAAGAAACCACCAAGTGCAGCGTTCAGCTTCTAGGAAAAAAGAATAAGAACTGGATGTGCTATTTCAGTTCAGGCAAAGGGAGAAAACAAAACTTTTGCGAGGTTTTATTTCTTTTAAAAGGAGTGTATGCTACGGTTTCCCGGGCTATATGGAAATATACAGTATTTAGTATACACTAAATGCAAATGCAAGGCTGACTTCCCTAGAAAAAAAGTGGGAGATTCTATCTACTTTCTCCCGAACACCTCTCCAGTCTGTCTTGGAGGCAACTAAGGAGTAATAATAAAGGAATGATGGCAAACACTTTAACAAGGCTTTCTACAATGCCGCTTTAGTAGAATACAAGGTAACATCCTATCGCCTGACAATTTTACAGGAAAGCCCAGAAGAGGAAGCCAGAAATAGATTCCAAAAACCAATGCTGAAGACTAGTGGGGGGGGGAAAAAAAGTCTGATTTTTTTTTTTTTTTCATTTTTGGTTTCTCTACACTTGGGTGGGACTCAGTCCCACGAACGTCTTCTTCTTCGGTGTGAGAGCGGTCTTTTCGGGAACCACAGGGCTGCAGATGTCATGCTGGAATTCTCCCAGGGGCAAACTGCCAGCCTGAAGCAGCTCTTCCCCAGTTACTACTCCCAGCGGGGCTGGCCTGAGCCTCGCTAACTGACCTTCGGACCTGTGTGCAGACACCTGCATTCGCACCACCTTTGTGGGATGCGACCGACGCTAAGGGCCCTGTGAGGTGGGAAGGCCAGGTATGATTGCTTTCGGGGGAGAAGACGAAGGCTGGGAGGGAGCCCTGCTCAGAGTCACGCGGCCACCTGGCTGCAGATTCCGAGGCTCGGCCCCACGTGGGCGAAGCGCGGGGGAAATACCGAGCCCGGAGCCCCTACCTGCCGTTAGACCCCGTCAGTGCTGCCGCTCCCACCGGCCGGGACAGCACTGGGTCTCCAAACGGTAGAGAAGAATCCTTTCCCTCCACCTCGAGAACTGCTTCCAAAGCGCCCCCGCTTTCAGCCCCAAGACCTGCCCGCTCAGGCCGGACGTCGGGGTCGCCGGTCTGGGCGACCCGGGGACCGGGCGGGGAGCGCTGGGGGCCGGGGGACCCGGTTCCCCGCAGCACCTGGAGCCGCCGGACCGAAGGGCAGCACCGCGCTCGGTGGCGCGGTTGAATCACGCGTGAATCACTCCTCGGAGTTTCCTACCCGGAGGGGGCGGAGCAGGGGTGGGGACCGGTCCCGGGGTCCGCCCAGCACGACGGCCAGTGATCGGGCCGGGGGCGGGAGTGGGGAGGAGCGGCGGGGGCGGGCCGGGGGCCTGCGGAGGCGCCGGCGTCCGCGCGACTCTTTAAAGCGCACGCGGCCAGCGCTTCCCCAGACTCGGGGTTCCCCGCGATCGTTTCCGTTGCCGCCGGTGCCCAAAGGGGCCTCCAGCCCAGCCTCCCCAGCCTTCGCGGCGCAACGGAATCCTCCCGACCTCGCCGCCAGCTCGTGGACATGGAGACCCTCCCCGGACCCCGGACTCCCTGCCTCGAGGACACCGTCGCTCGGATGCTGCTGCTCGGCTTGGTCCTCCTGCAGGTGACCGGAGCCTCCGGTGAGTGGCGGCCGCCCCCGAAGCCCAGGAGCGCGAGGCTCGGAGGAATGGGCTCGCCCGCCTGAAGCGGCAGCTCTCACCCAAGTGTCAGCGAAGCCGGCCCCCGGGGCGCGCAGGCGGGAGTTGGAGGGTAGGAGGCGGCTGCCGCTTCTGCTGGAGAGACTTGCTCGGTGTCCGGCCGCTGGGATTGCACACGTGGAGTGTGGCTCCCGCTCTAAGTTTAGCCAGTCTTTTCCAGTGGTCCGCGACCTTGAAGGTGGTGGACGTGGACCCGCACCTGCACTGGTCAGCGTCGTGCAGGGTTTGGAGAGATACCATCCTTCACTGCGCGTGCACGTTCCCTGATGGAGCGGGAGAGGCACTTGTGGTTCCTCGATCGCCTTTTAGATTCAATTAGAGGCAATCCTGTGGCAAAAAGTCGCTTGGATTGGCGTAGACACCACATGGTGCATGACCCTTATGCTTATTCGGTGTGGGGGGGCAGGGCAGAGACTGTGACCTGCTGCGTATTGGCAAAGCAGACCTTAATAATAAAGCGTCCTAACTGAATATATCTGATGGTGTGACAGGCCACACTTCCGCCTGGCTGTCTGAAAGTTTCAGTATAGAGACATGCTAGATACAAATGAGAAAAGTCAAGATTTGACTTTCTTATGGTATGCGGCCCTAACCTCTCTCACACATGTGGGATCTGCTCTCTTCCATAGCTTACCCCAAACCCATCCTACCTGGCCCTCCCTGGTGAGTGGGACCTCTGGAGTCCTGCACTTCCTGGGCTGGCCTGGGACCTCCCAGGAGGCTGATAGCTCCTGGGCTGTGTGCTAGGTCAGGTTATCACAGGGCTTCCTCCATAAATCATTTCAAACAAGGATTTTCTTAGATTACAAGGTCAATCTTGCCAGGAGAAAATTAAGAGAAGTTAAGAAAATTAAGAAAAACTTGAATTTTTTTTGTCTTGATAATTCAGTAGTGAATGGAAGCTTTCGTGGTTGCAAAAAAAAATTAATATGAAGTTTATAGTGATGTGGGAGGGATGGGAAGATGTTTTATAGCATCAACATGAAATCATGTACTGAGTTCACGTAATAATAGCTGTTTCTCTGTTGTTTAAAGGCATTACAGATGTAGTGGCAGCATATAATTTAACTTGGAAATCAACTAATTTCAAGACAATTTTGGAGTGGGAACCCAAACCCATCAATCATGTCTACACTGTTCAGATAAGGTAAGCTACGTACAAAAAAAAAAAAAGAAAGAAAAAAGAAAATTAAGGTTTTTGATGTTTCCACTTCCCTGTGCTGAATACAAATGTCTTTAAAGCTGATTAATGGATGAGAGTATTTGACAGATGGCAAAGAGGGCATTGGTGGTAATTTGCTGGCCAGAGGCATAGTCTATGAAGCCTGCAACATTTCCTCAGCTTAAACTGATAGAATGTTTTACTTGGTTTTGGACAGGATGGGAAGATTCTCAAATGGAGTGTAAGCCATAGGTAGGTGAACTCTCTTGAGCAGACTATGGCAGCATGGGTAGGTGTGGGTCGCAAGTGAAGATAACTAACATCCTCTCAGCACACCCGTCTTTTTCCTCGCTAACTGTCTAGACTGTGAGCCAGATCTAACATGTTCAGGAGGAAACGGGGAGGAGTACAAATGTGTACATTGCCCTTAAGCAGTGTTTGATTCATTAATCTTTAGACACTGGTTCAAAATTCAGTTGCATCCATGATCTCGGAGGTCAAATCTGTGACTCACTAAGCCCGGGAGAAATTCTCCTCTGTCTGCACTCATCCATCCTGCTCTGATTGGCAGCTCTCTCCAAGAGCTGGTGATTTGCACGTTCAGTCTGAATGTCGGACATGTGCCATCTCTGTTCCTTGATGGTTTTCACTATATTCTTGGTGAGTTTGGGGTCTCTGAAACGTTCTAGGAGGCTTGCTAGAGATCTTATTAAATAGAGGAGAGCTGCTGTGGAAGTTATTTTAACACTAACTGAATAAAGGCACAATAGTACCACTGGCTAAGAATTAAAGATGTTTTGCTGTTGTGTTTGAACACAGCTCCTAAGTACACAGTGGGTCTTTTAGGTGGATGTTCTTGTTTTTCAAAATGAACTTCATGATGACTGTTTGCTAGACAAGGAGGAGAATTTGTGTGTGTGTGTGTGTGTGTGTGTGTGTGTGTGTGTGTGTGTGTGTTCGTTCATGTATAGATAGAGATACGGGGGTTTCATAACCCCAGGGAATAATTATAATTGTGGTCAAACTTGTCAATTCAGATTCCACTAATTGAGAATTAGTAATTAATTCCTCTCATAGAGAGCTGAAGCTTACTTTAGTAAAACACCTTCCTTCTGGATTGAGAAAATAAGATTTTAGGAAGAATGCTTACTCCTAAATATACTCAGTCTTATGTTTGGTGAACATGTGGAAACATTTATGATTTACTTAATTTTTATTTTTTATTCTTTTTTAACAAATCACTTCCCCATCACAACTGTAAATAATCTCCCAAGATTATTCTTTTTATTTTTAATTTTAGGGAGAGAGCACACAAGCAGGAGAGAAGAGTGGGGTGGGGGGTGGTTTGCAGAGGGAGAGGGAGAGTGAGAGAGAATCCATTGCTGAGCATGGAGTCCAATACGGGCTCGGTTCCATGACCCTGGGATCACAACCTGAGCCAATATTGAGAGTCAGACCCTCAACCGATAGAGCCACCCAGGTGCCCCTTCCTGATTTTTAAACCTAAGCCTTAGTTAACCCTAAGTTCTTAGACTTTGCAAGGCTGCTAATATTTAAATGAACACGTCCCCCATGAAGCGCGATGTGCACACATCCTAGCTGAGCTGAAGCTTAGCGGTGCCTGAGGGTGGGGGTGGGGAGTTCCTGCCAAGAGAGGGATCTCCCCGTACTCTTGGCCCTGCACCCCAAGGCCTGTGAACAGTCCCCAATCCTGCTCCTGGGAGACACATACTCTCCTGCAGCCTCCCCATGAGTAAGATGTTGATTCCACAGAAATGTTCTGAATTCTAACACTAAACTTCCACACCTTCTAGAAAACAACCTGCTCCTAAATTGGTGAATCTGGATTCTGCTGGAATTTTTTAGTAATTCAGATGGGACATTTATGATTTCCAAATCAGGAGGGTGTACAATACCTAGAGAAACCTTGAAGTCTTTTAAATATTAATGCTGGCAATAGCATTTAGAGGAATGTAGTACAGAATCGCCCCTTCATTACCTGTTCACATGACTTTACTATGTTCAGTGATCCAGGCGCTTGTGCTAAATTTCACCATAGAGTACTGTGATTTCTACGAGTGAGCTGGGGGAGCCCAATACCTGTCTCTCAGACGGAACGTAGTCACAGAGCCCAGGAGTCTTTCCCCTGATAATCTGAACCATGTGTGTGCCACAGTGATGGAGAGGAATCGTCATGCTCTGATTCACTGTTTAAAAGAGAAATGATATAACTATTAAAAAAACATTTTTGTCATTCTGGAATTGAGACAGACTCTACTTTTTCACAGAAAGAGAAATCTAGAAAACAAAAATATTTCTGTGTCGATCTCAGTTTGTGAATTTTAGGGCAAAGAGTGTGTTTGCCCACATCCTCTTAGCCTCGATATTTAGTTAAGATTTTTTTAAAAAAATATGTACCTACGGCTCTCATGTGTGGACTGCGACAGTCGAATCCTATGGCAGCTCCATCTTCCCCCTGATCCAACCCGTAAGTGCAAACTGCCTAACACCCAGCGAGGCCTGGCTATGTATGATCCTTCAGGTTAGCCCTGCTGCTTAATGGGGAGTGGGACCAAGTTCACAGTAAGTGCTTTAATGGAGGTATCATTGCTGGGAACAAGGGAGAGAGGTCAATTCTGAGAAAGGAGATCTGGAGATTCCTGGAGAAAGTGGGACTGGAGCATGGTCTTAAATGGTGGGCAGGGCTCTCTGGCGGTCCATGATGCCAAAGGAGAGAACAGTGTGGCTGTCAATATACGTGGGTCAGAAGTGTGTGGATCCAGGAGCAGGGGCATTCATCTACAAATTGTTTTGGTCCTTTAGAATAATTTCATGTTTAGCAGTTCTTTTTTTTTTTTTTTTTTAATTTTCTTTTTTTTTTTTTCAACGTTTATTTATTTTGGGGACAGAGAGAGACAGAGCATGAACGGGGGAGGGGCAGAGAGAGAGGGAGACACAGAATCGGAAACAGGCTCCAGGCTCCGAGCCATCAGCCCAGAGCCCGACGTGGGGCTCGAACTCACGGACCGCGAGATCGTGACCTGGCTGAAGTCGGACGCTTAACCGACTGCGCCACCCAGGCGCCCCTAGCAGTTCTTTAAAGTATTTCCCCTTCAATGGCATCTTACAAAAGAAAGATCTGTTCCAGTCTCTTAGTCTCTCAGACCCTCCGATCCTGCCTTTATTGTTATGTTGTAAACTTTGATGGGCTGTATTCATATCTTGTAAAGTGAGGGAGGCATGTAGTAAAATGAGATGGACAGACTCAGCCCGCACCTCATCAGCTAGGTGACCTTGTACAAGTCACTTAGTGGTCCTGAGCATGTGTCCTTATATGTAAAAAAGATCCAATCCCTTCCTTAAAGGATTCTATCAAATGAGGTAGCCCGTGTAAAGGGCCCTGTACAGTACCTGGCATACAGTAGATTCAATGATAAATAACCATACCAGCAATGGTCAGTCAAATGTAAGATATAGATTA